GAGCACCAAACAATACAAAACTAAATAAACACATTTTGTAGTTCCAGCATGATCTTGGTGTGATTCCACCCTGTGCTGTAATTTGTTGCTACGATGTGAATATGTTCGTATCTTTTGCTGTAATTTGTTGGGATGTTTCTCTGACCTGTTGTTTTCTCGGTGTTTCAGTGCTGGTCAAAGGTCAGGTCACTACAAAGTACTACCGTTTCTTGGCCAAGCATGGCGGCTGGGTCTGGGTTCAGAGTTATGCAACCATTGTCCACAACAGCCGCTCATCCAGACCTCACTGCATTGTCAGCGTCAACTATGTTCTCACGTGAGTCTCTGTTGCAGCTCCTACACACTCAGTTTCCTCTGTGAGACACGGGTCAAAGGTCAGACTGACACTCAGAAGATTTGTTGGAGACAAACGAGATTTTGAACAATTAAGGCTATATCTGATGTTGCCATTCACTTCCCAAAGATCACATGAAATATCACTCAGTATCATCCGGTGATGAAGCTGGCATGCAGCACGAGGAATAGATCTAAGGGAAAGCTCTTTGTCTGATACAGATGGCAGGATGTTTATCGCTCAGCTGGTTACAGTCTGCATTTTGATCTATGCAGAAGACAAAGCTAACGGGGTTAGCAGCACGTATTTAATGACTATGATGCTCATGAATTAGTAGAAGAAGAAGAATCACTTTCGTGGTCGTAAGACTGACAGCAAGAACACAGTGTTACACCGTCAGTCAGGCGGGAGGACTGCAGCGTCACGCAGATGAACACACATTTGTTCTGTCAGAAGCAAAGGCACTCATCTACACCGATGCAGACAAATAAAAACGGTCAGATGAGACTTAAACGGACTGATGTACGAGGACATTTATACTGTGTTTTTTTTCAAGTCTACTGACCACTCAGTCGCATCGCTGTGATTGGTTGGGGTGAGAGAAGGAAGACAGGATAAAGACTTGCTGTGGAAGAGACACAGAGATTAATAACAAGTATGATTGAGCAGAGAGGTCTGTGAACACAGTGAGTGAAGAAGAAACAGCAGTTTTCCTTCAGTATCGCTGCTCTGACCGCTGGAAGACAATTGACTAATATATGATTATATTAATAATAATAATGATATATGTATGTATACATATAATGACTATAAAGTGACTGAGTGAGAACAGTCACAGGTGTCGCAGCAGGTGTATGTAACGTGTGTCCGTGGAGACGCTGACATGTTGACATGCAGAGTCTTAAATTGCTGCAATATCTGAATTGACTTTTAAAACAATCAGAGGAACTAATGAAAGTGACAGTGCACGTTAACTGCACGTTAACTGCACGTTAACTGCACGTTAACTGCACGTTAACTGCACGGTAGCCCCATGAACAGATGCACTACATGGTTACAGTGCACAGTTTAGGAGGCTCTGTGAACCCACTGTGAAATCTTAGTGCCTGAGAGAAGGACAGAGAACAGCTGATGTTCCTCTCATTCACCTCTTTACTTAGTGTTTATCTGCTAACAGCACTCAGCACACATCAGGAAACACAAAGCAGATGAGCTGAGTATGTGTGACCTCTCCTGCTCAGTCTCTGCTCAGGACGTCTGTGCTGGTGGCTCTCCTGAGTAACCAGTATAAACCTCTGTAATTCCACCCAGTCTGCTCTCAATAGTGTTGGGCTTCTTACTCAAAGAATATTACTCATTATTTTGAAGTAATCCATTACATTACTTAATTACTCCCTGTAAAAGGTCATTTGTTACACTAACATAGACTTAAATGTGATGATGTTTGACAGCTGCCAGTTAACAGCCTCAGGTTACACACTGATGAACACACATACATCTTTATTCAGCACCAACTCAAAGCAACGCTGATAAAGACACAGTGAAGGCTGCTGAAATTCTAATGTAGAAACCAAGAACTGGAGGTTGCAGCGCTGCAGGTGCTCATGTCTCTGCTCTTTGCCTGTAAAGGACACAAGGCTGCAGCACGTCTGCCTACGACCAGTCCTACCAGTCATATTTTGAACAGGACGGGGTTAATTTGGACACGTCTGGTGATTCTGTATATTGTGAGCAAGAATAATCTCAGAGCCCATCTGAGCCACAGCGCTGCGATCAAGCCCAGGTCCAATCAGTGCTGTGTATGAATTACTGAGGCTGAAGTGCAGAACACATCATCAGTGTTTCCCATGCAGGTGGTGTGAAGCAGCAGGTGTGTCTCTGAGTGTCCAGGGCAGGTCTGCTGTCTGTGCTTTGATAACATAGTATTGGTCCTGAGACGCTGTGCAAACAGCAGCTACTCACTGGAGGTTAACTGGAACTCTGTCTGTTAAAGCCTTGTTTTCAGCATCAGGCCGTCTAACTAAAGTTTGTCCGTTTTCCTTTTATTATTATTGTTGTTCCTTTGAAACAAACGATCAGGATTTCTTTCAGAAACCAATAACTAGGTTTTTCCCTAGTTCTGATGACAGAGACATTCCTGTGTTATCAGTAGATATGCTGGTGATGTCAGAGTCTGAGTCCTTTGTTGGCTGTTACCTGCACAGTCAGTCTGGCGGTGTGTAAAGAAAGGAGCTGACCATGCTGGGACCATCAGGCCATAAAAACACAGTCAAATGCTTGTTCTTTCAAACAGAATGAAGCCGATCAGTGCCGACATCAGCCGCTCTCTCTGTCAGTAACTAAACTTATTTATTATTTACTGCCCCGATGTGTGTATTTCACAGATGTACAAGAGCCTAAATGAATGAATAAGGCCCATAAAAAGCCTCCATTAAGCAGCATGACTTACTGCATTTACAAGCAAAGAACAGCTTGACACATGTTTGCTGCACGTCCTGCATCGCAGCCCTAACGGCTTCTGTTTACGGCCTTTTAATTGATATCTTGTAAAGATGATGAGCATTTACGGCCCCAGCTTGCTGTAAAGGGATCGAAGCCTCATAAGGCTCATTTCTTCTCCTCTTAATATATTTTCTTATGTAGTGATGATGGAGAAGAAGCCGCGTGGTCCTCTCGCTCGGTCTGAGTTTTCCACGACAAAAGGCAGAGATAAGGAGAGCGCAGGCTTTTGTGGAGTGTTGCTATCAGCAGCAGAGCTGGTTTGCCCCGTAGCTTTGGCCACACAGCCACTGATAGCAGAGGTGATGAGGATACTTCACCTGCATGTGAACTCCCACTGTGTGTTTAGCTCTGATGACCTCTACACCTAATACCTCCACTTGACAGTAATTTAGCAATTCTTTAAATGTCTGCAGCAAACGCATGCGACCGCATTTCACTCATGTGACTTCCACAGCAGCTCTGCTGGGTGTTTCAGTCTTTAAACCACTCTGTATAAAGAACCACAGGAACACGTTCACATGAAATGCACTACAGTGCACTACAGCTGGGAAAACATCAAATGTGGGATTTCTCTGGGATGCCCCGGCAGAGCCGCTGCTTATGCTCCTCTTATTTTAGGATTCTCCAAATGTAAGCGAGCCACAGCCTGTGTGTCTGAGCTGTGTTTACAGAGACTGAGACAGAAGAGAGATCAGTGTTTGTCTCAAATAAACTGTGTAAAGGTTTTCTGTTGTCTCGAAATCCATTCATCATCCATGTTGAGAACACTTTAGCAAGAAATCAATTCCCATTTCCCCGCAGTGGGACGTCCAAGTTTGTCCTACGGGTCTGATTGAGCGAGATGTAACCTTTAATCTGTCGGTGTATTCAATTGGACGGCTCAGTGGATCCCTCTGGTAACACAAGCAGCTCCCGTCCTTTCAGCACCACCCACCCACACACATCGCCCGGTCTCTCAGCACTCATCACACTCTAACTGCTAAACAGATGTTATTGACTTTTTGCACCCAGAGAAAATGCAGCTCATTGTCTTCTTTAATAAATAGTCTTTACATGAGACTGGAAGCTCTCCACATCTATGCACTGTACCTCTGGGCTTTTCTGCTTGTGTGTCTTTAGGGAGACAGAATATAAAGGCCTCCAGCTTTCTCTGGACCAGGCCACATCCAAGGCCTCGTTTCCCTGCACGAGCAGCCTCACAGACAACTGCAGAACTGCCAAGAGCCGAGCATCACGGCCCAAGAGCAAAGCCAGGCTCTCGCCATATACACAGGTGAGTGCAGGTCTCTGAGACTGAGGTATGAACACGTTACTGCACTGCTGCCTGGTTGGGACGTGGGAGCAACGCTGCAGCTGTGCTCCTTGCTGAAGGAGACAGTGTGCACCAATAGCAGCAGGCATTGTTAGACCCGGACTGAGTTTTAGATTTAAAAGAAAAAATGATTTATTATGTCTTTATTTTGTCAGACACTTTTTTTCCACCTCTTCTTTTTCTTCTTCTGGTGCTTGGATTATAAATTGTAGTGGCAGACATCAGAGAAAGCCTCACTGGACTGAACCATTACTCCAGTTCATCATTCACAGAGTTCATGATCGTGGTTTCAAGAACTGGTTTCTTCTCTCAAACTAGTAACCAGGAAGGAACACATTCATCCCCGGATAGCTGAGACAGCTTCACTAACCAGTTTGGGTCTTCTTCCAGACCTTAGCAATAAACTTTCTGAAGAGTCTGTTTCCATATGGATAACCTGTGTAAATATACAGGTCTCCTTCTTAGATCTGTACCGAATTAGTCAGTCCACCAAGGGCTGTCAATCTAAGAGAAACTACCAAATATAGTCAGTCATGATCAGTATGGAGTCGGCTTTGGCTTTATCAAGTTTAATGACACAGTGAGCCAGGGGTGTCGAACTCCAGGCCTCGAGGGCCGGTGTCCTGCAGGTTTTAGATCTCCCCCTGGGTCAACACACCTGAATCACATGATTAGTTCATTACCAGGCGTCTGGAGAACTTCAGGACATGTTGAGGAGGTCATTCAGCCATTTGAATCAGCTGTGTTGGATCAAGGACACATCTAAAACCTGCAGGGACACCGGCCCTCGAGGCCTGGAGTTGGACACCTGTGCTGTAATCCTTCAGCAGCGCTTACTAATGTGAGTATATGAATATAGAGTATATAGTTGAGTTCATGCTGTGTGGATTAGAAAATAAATCCAAACGTGGGGACTCTGTTCTTGTGTTTCTGAGACCTCAGGCAGACGGCACATGATTTTCATTTCAGTATTAAAAATAAATCTTACATTTAAAAAGATGTAAGGTTACTTTCAAACCTGTAATATAGGGAACTAGCATTAAAAAATGTCTGTAGTTCCCAAACAGTTGATGCAGAACGTTTCAGATGAATGTCTGCACGCACACGTCTGTGCTATTCAATTCAATTCAATTCAATTTTATTTACACAGCGCCAAATCACAACAACAGTCGTCTCAAGGCACTTTATATTGTACAGTAGATCCTACAATAATAGATACAGAGAAAAACCCAACAATCATATGACCCCCTACGAGCAAGCACTTTGGCGACAGTGGGAAGGAAAAACTCCCTTTTAACAGGAAGAAACCTCCAGCAGAACCAGGCTCCGGGAGGGGCGGGGCCATCTG